CATAGACAGTGTGTGCCCATCAAATGTTCATTACTGTGTCCCTGGTGTTAGCACATGATTTGCATTACAGGAAGTGCTCAGTGAATGTTAGATGAGATAAGGATCTGGATCTGTTGATTCAGTTTGAACTCAGTGATAGCCAGTTACTAGTTTGGCATCCTGATAAGACAGTTGTTTTTACCTCAAGGGGGAAAACTGTGACTAAATTTAGTAAAGGTCAGTGTGGCCTCCTGCTTACATGAAGAACCATTTTGTTCCCCGCACTCCCTGCAATCCAGCAAATCCTCTTGTACTGAATTAGGTACTCTTAGTTCCAACTGATTTATTCATTCCTTCTTTCAGGAGAGCTGGCATATTCTTGTATGGCATTGAGGTATGGCATTGAAGAAAATGAGTGACTCAATCCACTCAATTTAGTACACACTTAAAGGCCTATTGCACATGTTGCTTTAGGAGCATGAGTGATACAAGCAGAGATGAAAACATGGCTCTTGATTTCATGGAGCTAGCTTCTCTGTGCACATGGAAGGTCACACCCGGGTAGGCCTTGAAAATTCTCCATAAGATGGGCTTAGGGGCTTCAGTCTGGCTGGAAGGAGTTGGCTAGGGGACTTGAGTCTGTCTTTGCATAGAAGACACTGTTTTTTTTGAGAATGTATATTTGGAGAAGGAGGCTGGTAGAGATTATTGGGAGGCGGGTAAATTTACCCAAATATATAAAGACCCCAGAGATCTCTCCTAAAATATGTCTGTGAGGGAAAGATACATAAAGTATCAGCACAAGAGGTTGAGGAAGGGAACAATGCCTGAGAGGGTAATTTGAGGAAGTCTTTGTGCAGAAGTTACATTTCTGGCTGTTCGGAGAGAGGTGCAGAGGACTGCACAGGCATGGAGGAGAGCAGGGTGGATGGAAGGCCTGTGATCACAGACTTTTGATCAGTTTTGGAGGGCCTTCCAAGGAACCTAAGAACAACTTTCTCTTTATTTTCTTCAGGTGAAGAAAATGGTGAAAATTTATTCAAATGTGCTGAGTTAGAGGAAAATAACTTTGCCCTGCCAGAATGTGTCCTGCCTTGTGAAAAGATTATATGTAATTTTACCTGATCTTAATGGACATAAAATAAGTTACTATTTTTTGGGGGATGTCTGTGTGTCTCTAGGGCCCAATGCCTGACATGTAGAATGTGTTTAACAAATATTTGACAATTTGAACTGAACTGAGATGAATTAACTTTTTGCAGGTCATTTAAAATTACACGTCAGAGCATTTAAAGGTTTCTTTTTTTTTCTTAAAAATTAGAAAGAACGTTTATTGTTTCTTGTTAAAATATGGTGTTCTCATGAGAAAAGAGTGTGCAAAAAGAGCCTCCCTACACCCTGGGCTTTCTCACTTATCCCAGCAGGCTGGAACTGTCTTCACTGCATAGGAGGAAAAGTTCTTCACCTGCTTCTGGGAAATTAGGCACTCTACTCTAGTTTTACTTTTGATTACTTTCATGTGTAAAAAAAAAAAAAGGCAAAATCCAACAGCTAACGGGCTATCTCTTCCTAGGCATATATGCCCAGTCCACTTGGACACAGACGTGGACCTCAAGTCCACTTCCCCATGTGCAGCCCAGGATTAGGTGGCACCCTGGAAATCAAGTGGGTGTTCCTGGCTGAGGATTGAAGAACATCTCAGCTCCTGGTCAGCTGGTTGAAAACATGCAAAGTGCCTCCAGTGAGAAGCTAAGATTACCCCTTTAATGAGAAACACTTTGGGTGTGGTAGAGCCAGACGGCAGGCAGCATTCTTGCCACAGGTAGTATCTGGTCTAGAAGCTAATAGATCCCCAAATCCTCTTATGGTTCATTGCATTGACAGGAATGAATTCAAGTTTCAAAATGACACACCCAAGTTATACAAGGTAGAGGATGTCATTAAGACAATAGTCTCACCAAGTCCATGAGAGCTGTGATCCTACCATCTCCCTTCCCTCGCTCTCCAAGTCTGCTTAGTTCTGCCCACTACTCTTCCTTCGCAGCAACAGTTCTAGTATCCAGAAGTCTTGAGCAGCCTTCAGCCTCACGAGTTGGGCGTGGCCCAATTGGGAAACTTCATGGCAACATCAAGGCCAAGGAAACGGGCTGCATTGGCGGGGAAGGCTCAGGTCATCACTGCATCAACAAGGATGTGCTTCCTTCATCCCAGATCAGCTCCCTCACACATCTCCAGAACCATTAGGATATTTCGCAGGAGGTTCAGTCTGGAAGGGAGTCTGGAGCACATCTTCGGGGACTGCCACAGCCCAGTTGAAGATTCCTGCTCTGCCCCAGCCATCAGGATTCAAGGCACACTGAGCTCACTGACCCTCTTTCCCTCCAGAGTGAAGATATTTTTCAGTTATTCATATGTCATGAAATATATTCCACTAGCTGGGACATCTCACATAAGGGTAAGCATAGTCCCTTCTAGATGCCTTGGATCCCAAACTCCTGGTACAGCTTCTTTGCATAGTTCAAGGTACCAGTATACTTGGTTTCCCCTGAAGAAGCCTGAAACGGTAACAAGCACTTGATGGGTTCTCCAGGGATCATGATGCCTGTGGTAAATGTACCAGATGACATCCCAGCTGCAAATAGCGGGGGATAGCTGAGCATATCCTCTGGGTGTTTCTGTTGTAGTTTATTCCCCAAACCAAACCCAGAGAATTACACAGCAAACATGGAGATGACCCCGATGATAGGGGCAGCCATTCCCTGATACAGCTCCATGGTGCCCTAAGAGTCATCGGGAGACAGTCAAAGATCCCAGAGTACAGGGGAGGCTGTACTGACAAACTCAGTGGCTGTGTCTGCAGTTGGACCTTGGCAGTGTTCAGAGGGTGCCCCATGAACACAAGGCACACGGCACCAAAGCCGCTAGCCAGCAGGTTCTTGAGCGGGCTGATGGGCTTTGGCGGGTCAGCCATGGGCAGTCTGCCTGTCCCTCAGTCTGTTAGTTCCTGGGCTGTCCTGGCTCTGCTGCCCCAGCTGCAGTGCCAGGGCTGCCAACCTTGCATTTAAAGGCTTTTACTTGCTAATTCATTTTGGTTAAAAAAAAATCATTCTCAGAGATAGCCAAGGTAATGGGCATTTATGTGTTGTATGAATGTGATGTTATAGATATACATTTGCCCATGGTTCCTGGTTCATAACTCCCACAACCCTCATTATATCCTAAGTGACAAAAATAATAAGCCTATCTTTTGTTAGGGGATTTGGCCTTTTTTTTTGTCTTTGGTTCCTGAAGCAGCTTCAGACAACTTCAGGGCAATAAAGGTGAAAAAGATAGTCTTTTATTGTAATGTTGGGGCACTTTAGGCCTAACAAATAGGTCTCAGAGAAAAGAATCTCTCTCTCTGAACTTCTCCTGCCCACCTTTCACCTGCTCCTTTTTCTCCCCAAGGCCATAGAAACTGAAAATATCCTCTCATCGAACATCACCCCCACACCTTTTGTCTTGGAGCTGGTCGTAAAGAAATTATTTAATATACCTTGTCTAATTGTAGGCCATGAGACCCTCAATTCAGGAAGGGTCCTCCCTTCTACCCAGGAGGAAGGAATGGTGCTCAGGGAGGCCAAGAAGAATCTGAACAGACAGGCCTTGGTGGGTTTCCTCATTCAACCTGTTAATATCAGGTTATGCTCTTTTTATCCAATCACATTTATGCACAGTTTTCCCTGTTTTTATCATGTCGGCCCAGTGAAGACTCCATAAAAGACCCAAGAGGATGAGCTATGAAGAGCCTTTGGACCACTGAACTTGTGGAGGCTCTAAGAAAGGTAAAGAGTAACTCATCCCTGTGCTGGGAGGGTGGTGCACCCCAGATTCATGGGAATGAACACTTCTGTGCTTGGGGCCCTTTCAAACCTTGCCCTATGTATCTATTCATCTGGCTGAAAATATCCTTTACAATATGCTGGTGAATATAAATGAGTGTTTCCCTGAGTTTTGTGAGCTGTTCTAACAAATGAATCAAGCCTAATCAAACTCAAGAGGTTTGTGGGAACCTCTACTTGAGGCCAGTTGGTCAGAAGTTCCAGAGGCTTGAACTTGTGACTACTGCTTAAAGTGGGAGCAGTTTTGTGGGACTGAGCCCTTAGCCTACGGAATCTGACTCTACCTACATGGAGACAGTGTCAAAATTGAATTGGATTAGAAGATGCTCAGGTGGCGTTGGATACAGAATTGATTGCTTGCTGGTTGTTGGAGAGAAATCCCCAGATATTCGGTCACAGAAGTCTTTTGTGTTACTGGTTGTGGTGTGAGAGCGAGGAAAACAGTTTGTTTTTTCAACACAATTAATAGTGATTATTTATTAAGCACCAGTAGGGGTCTAACCATGGGGTTAAAAATAATTAATTCAGGGGGGTAACAAAACTACCAGGGGATATCATTTCTGAATATTTAATTGATGTCATTCATTTCTTTGGTTTTGTTTTCCCATTCGTAAAATGGAGCTAATGATAGTCCTCTAGTTTAGTACCAAGGTTCCTCTGAGGATGAGATTTCTTCCATTTAAATCATGATGCATATTGCATGACTAGAAAGTAGAACATATGGTGCGTGACAAGGGTGTTGGCAATTTGCGGAAGAACAAAAAAGATTTGACAACAATTTCTAATTTGGTTCATCTCTGTAGTAAATTAGTTTAAAAATTTTGCTTTGATTTGTGGGCAATGGGGGTGGAAGTAGGGTAGGAGGAAATAAAAATTCCGTCCTTTTCCTGTCATCCCTTTCTTTAGGGTCCCCTTTGGTTCCCCTTCAGGAAATGAAATGAAAAAAAAAAAACAAAAAACCCATGCATTCGTCAGTAACTCTGGGTCAACCACAACTTAAAGGCAGTAAGCAGGTCAGTCGAAACAGGGGCAGTGATTGCTATAAAACAAGCAGGTACTCTCATTGATAGAACACAGGCATACACAGGAAGATACGTTCACAGAAAGAGCTTCCTGTACAAAGCAAGCAACCAGCGCAAGATGACAGTGAAGACCCTGCATGTCACAGCCATGGTGAGTAGCAGCAATCATTCTGGTTTAAGGACAGTCATGCCTAGGATTTCAGGAAAGCAGATTTCTCAGGAATTAGGCTCGATTGGTGTCTTTTTGGAATTATTTCTTTAAAAACAGAGATGACTTTAATTTTGACTCCTGTCTGATGGAGAAAAAGAAAAAAATAACTAGAAAAGTTATAATGGGGTAAAAAAACACAGCTCCTCATCCGATGGCTTTTGTTCAGGTAGTGTTAGCATGTGCAGTCCTTGGCATCACAGACAACTGGCATGTTCTCTCCTGTTTGTGGCCATCCATTGTAGAGTTAGGTTGGCCTGAAATTCTTATCTCATGGTGGAAGCTTAGCCAGCCCTTTAGGGGTTTTATATATATAGACCAAGGAAATTGGGGCCTCAAGAGGTTTAATGATTCCCCTGAGACTGCAGGAGTGCCCTGGATGGAAGAAGTGAAATCACCCAGTGTTGACTTTGGACAGCTCCTCGAGAAGGGAAATTTCCCATGTCTCTGATTGCTATTTACTTATTTATTTTGCATCATCTCATTCTTCTTAGAGGAAAGACAGATGTTAATGCAATGAAAATCTAGCCCCAGCAGGTCTGGTGGAATCTTGCCTGGAATTATTCAGACAAGGCCTGGGAAGAATTTACTATAGAGGCACATGAAAACAGGGGTTAGGCAATCCTGCATCATATTATTGGCTTAGATAATTTCCTTTTTTTCTCTTTTTACAAGCCATACAACTTAAAAGAGCTTGAATATCATAAAACGTTCATGGCATGCAGCAATGATACATTTTATTTTATATTTATGTGTTATTTTAGAGATTACATGCAACGCAGCAAAGTGCTGTATTTAGAGGCACAGGCTTTGGTGTCAGGCAGACCTGGCTCCACTGCTTGCTAAATGTAGGATTTTGGGTAAGTTATTTAGCTTCTCTGTACCTCAGTTTCCTCAACTATACAGTGGGAATAACAATGGCATCTTTCTCATGGCATTTATTGGGAGGATTAATTAATATCATTGAGAATAAATGAGTCTATACTCTGTACAGGCAGATTTGTATATGCTTAGTTTTTATTTAATTTGGCCATTCTAATAAACAACACTGATAATGATAGGGAAAGCATTCAGTAAATGTTAACTACTCATAGTAATATTGTTGTTATTATCCTGGAAATTTCTGATCAATTCACTGAAGTAGGTGGGGATACTTTCCACTTTATACAGATGATCAAAAGCTCAATTGTTAAGTGATTTATTTAACATTGGTGGATACTGTAAGCACAAGAACTGGTACACCAATCTAAGCTTTCTGGCTCTAACCACAGTGTGCTTCTCTTTGAATGGTTCAGAGGCAAGATTTCTGGATTTAAAGCCATTGCATCTGAACAATTCTGTTGAGTAGCTTTGTGCTCCTTAGCTATTTCTATTTCTAATTTCTTTGAAGAAAACTGTTGGGTTGTGAGCAAGAAACATAACAGTGCAAGGAGCATTAGAATGGGATTAGAAGTTGAGAGGTGCAGGGAGATGGACATCCTCAGTAAGTAGTTGAGGCAAATTCTCATGGACTTAGAGGTTGGCCAACTGGTGCTTATTGGGACAACTCACATTGCAGGTGAGTACAGGGGATGTGTTCAGGTTGTTCAGTTGGGCTCACATGAGAGTGAGGTGCAAAGCTAGGCTGAGCAGGTTGGTGTCCTGTTACAGCCCACCTTCACCTGGTGCTTTCCCTTGCCTCTCTCCCCTCTTCTGCAGATTCAGAGTGATATCTGTTCATCTGCTTTATAGGTGGCATATAAGAATTCAAGTCTGTACAATGCTCTGAATTTCTCTGAGAGGTGCTGTTTAAAATCATTCTTAAGAACAGCAGCAGCCTTATCAGAGCCCCTATTCTGTATTACATAACCACTAAAATCTACAGCTCAGATCAAAAGCTTTATGGAGCAAATTGGAGTAATTTGCAGACATTATCTGATTTCCTGATAAAGAGCTATGTGACTTACAACACTTATTCACATCTAGTACAACTGTCACGTTGCTTAAAATGTTTGCCTCTTCTAATGAGACAAAGCTAAGATTAATGTTGATAATAATAAAAATGACCTTCAATGGCAATAGCACTGACTACTGACACCCAGGTCTGAGTCCCCAGACTGGTTCTCATAGGCTGGTGAACTTAAATTATTTGTTCCCTCTGGGACAGAACTCTTTTACCTGGCTAATTGGGATAAGTAATACTAGCCCTGTCTACCTCACCAGGTAGTTGTGAGAATCCAGTGTTTAAAGCGATGTAAAAGTGTTTTCTAAAATAGTCTAAGCAAATGTAATAATGATTTGCTAAAAGCATGGTAATTATTGCTAAATCATATAACCCCAATGTATGTATTTAAAAGCTTTCATAGTGAAAATTAATAGTGATTCAGTGAATTGACACAGAAGAGCAAAGAGAAAACACAAAGGGGGAATTTACTTAAGAACTCTAAAGATGTGATTGATAGCAACAGAGCAAGACTGTCTCAAAAAAAAAAGGCCATAGCACTTTGTCAATACAGAAGGTATATGAGCGTAAATTCCACATCTATCTAGTCCACTGTGTAGACTGTATAACAATATAGAGTTAGCAACAGTCACCTGTATGGATACTTATCATATGCTGCCAGTGTTCTTCATGGTTTATATGGATCATTCTATTTAATCTTCACATTGTTGGAGGAAACAGAATCATAGCTTCTAAGAGTCCCAGAGTTGAGTTACAAACCCTGGACTTCTGACTCTGAAGCCCGTGCCTGAGCTACCACACTGTAGAGTCAAGAAGAACTAGTTGTTGAATGAATGAATGATTGTAGGGGGATGAAAGTTGATGATTGCTGGTTAATCTGAAGGCAAATCACCCTCATTCTGACTTCTCTGGGTCAACCTTGCTTTCAACTTCTTTTTAGTATCTGCTTCCTCAGTATGGCAAATGGACACTATGACCTTTTTGTTTACTCTTATGTAAGTTTTTTGTCTCTAGTACCTGCAAAATATGAAAAGGAGGGCCTTTGAAACCAATATGTCTAATCACCATTCCTACATTAACTCAGGGAAGGTATGAGCCTGAACAACGTGAAGCCTAGAGAATGAAAGCAACGTAGCTTCAGCTCTTCTTCTGTATTATGTTGAGAGTTGGTGCTGGGCCTTGCTCATCCCCAGTAAGGGTCAGTGGCGATGGTGGGTGAGCAAAGCATGGTTGTGACAAAGGGAAGCTGGCAAGATTTTTAACTTTTCTTTTCATTAAGTCTTCAGTGCACCTTCATTCTTTGTGCATTCCGATAACACCAGTTAAACTGGTATTTCAATGTAAGTATAAAAAAAATGCTCCAGAGCTAAAGAGAAATAGTTTCCATATTCTCTGTTGTTGTGCATCATTAGTGCCCCAGTTTCTTTCAATTAGCATGGATAATTGGAACTTTGCTGTCGTTGGTTTTGCATAATGTTTTTCTTAATGCAGTGAGCTTAACTATATAGTTCAATTTAACTGTATCATTTTGTTCATTCATTCAGTCACCTACTCTTTCATTCATTCAAAAAGTGTTTATGGAACGTGTAAAATGCACGTTCTCCTGCAGGAACTTGCAATCTAATGGGTGTAGATCTGGCATGCACACAAATACTACATTTCCAGACAATTAAAAAATGCTGCTTGAGTGCTAGATGATCAAAGCTTTATAATTTAAGGATAATAAACATACTTCTGACTGAACCATTTTAGGGACTGTTCTTAGAGGAGATCACATCTGAGCTGGGCCTTAATGGAAGGGTAGCATTTTGACAGACAGAGGTGGGGCAGTGTATTCTAGGTGGAAGGGTGCCTCAGATAAAGGATTTTGTGGGAGATTCATGGGATATAAAGTTGGAAATAAAAACAAGAGTTATCGTTTGTTAAGCCTTTATTTTTGTTATACAATTTATATGTGTTTTATATAGAATATTCTATTTAATCTCATTAATAGTTTCATAAAGTGAGCATTATTATCCACTTGGAAAGAAGAGAAAATTAAAGGCTCAGCAAGGAAGCTAGGATAGGATTTTAACCCAATTTCAGACCCTGGCATCTTTCTGTCTGACTGTTTAGGAGCTCTTAGACTATGGAGGGCTTCAATAACTAGCGAGGCTAATGAGTTTTGTTCTCACTTTGGCACCTTGATACCTTTATGTGTGAGTGTTCCCATTTCCAGGTGAGGAACTGAGGTGCAAAGAGAAGCCCTGATCCCATAAAAGGACCAGGAATGCTGAGTTCCGCCAGAGCATGCATCTCTTGCTAGCAGGTGATGTGAGTCTCTGATTGCAGCTTCTTCTGTTTTCCAGGTGGAGTACTTGCTGCTGTTGATATTGGGGCTTGCCTTTCTGAGAGAGGCAGCAGCTCAGATAGTCCCCAAAGAAGGACAAACATTTTTCCAAGAGCCTGAGAGTTGCCCTTCTGTGCCAGAAGGTAGTCTGAAGCTTGACATTGGCATCATCAGTGCAAACCAGCGTGTTCCCTTGTTACGTAACATTGAGCGCCGCTCCACCTCCCCCTGGAATTACACGTAAGTGCAAATGAGACTGATCTTCACATTCTTTGGAAAAATATGTTAACTTGTTTTAATAATAAAGTAGAAAATTTAGAATACATAGAAAAAATAAAAGGGAAAATCCTCTTAACAATGAAAATCTCGCTTTACCTGGGAGCTCACATCTTTCTTGTCTTGGGCTAGGTTCATCTTTGTGGTGAGAATCCTAATATTTTGCTTCCACATTCTCATATACTCTGTGCCTTTTTCTGCTTCATGCAGTTCTAGGATGGAATTCACAATTTTCCTGTGTTGGAGAAGAGGAAAGCAGATTACATAATAATCTTCTTGAAAGCAGATTGCATAATAATCTCTGCGTGAGGATAAATGGGAAACAGAAAAGTCGGTTTAAGGAGATTCACTCAGATTAGACATTATCCATTCAGAAGTGGGAATGGGTGGAGGAGAAAAGCCAGTTTGGGAAATGGGATGTTAGGTGGGGACCTTCAGGGTACAGTCTTGTAATTTTTGCCTTAAGATACAGGTTCTTAGAGCACCAAGCACCCCCACCCCGTACTCTCTACACATAAGAATAAAAACACATTCCAGGGACAATTGAAGTGCTTCTGTGGTTGTCACATAGCGTCTCATGTGAGTGTGCTATGAGAAAAACTTGGGACTGTGATACCCCCTGCCTCAAACTGGGAAGATGTGGAGAGACCAAAGAATGACTTGGACAAGTCCAGCTTAGCAAATGATCAGTTTATTAAGACTTACATATGGGGCACCCCAGGGCAGGACAGCTCTAGAAATCCGGCCTGGCTCCCATCTCTAAGCTGTTCTTAAGGGAATTTTCTGGCTCTTTGCCTACTGTGTATATGCAATGGGACTGTTTTCCTTGGTAGGTTCTCAGATACTCTCTGAGATGTTTGGGTTCTCAGTGGCCTGCTCCTCGGCTGGGCACGGTGGCCTTGGCTCACTGCCCATCCTTCAGGGTTCAGACAGTGGACACACACCCTTGAGTAACCTGGTGGGAGTCCTGTCACACTGCAAGTGGAGTGTGTACAATGGCAAACTCGCAGGATAAACTTTGCTGTTTTTGTGCCTCCAGGCAGAGGGGCCTATTAAAGGAGAAATGGAGAGAAGCACTGAGATTCACAGACCCCTGGGACTGTGGCTTTCCTTTTCAAACAGCAGGCTCTGTAGACCGACTAGTGATGGAAGACCGACTAGTGATGTTCAATCTAGGCAGAAGATAAAGAATAATTGTAATAGGCCGGGTGCGGTGGCTCATGTTTGTAATCCCAGCACTTTGGGACGCTGAGGCGAGCGGATTGCCTGAGCTCAGGAGTTTGTAACCAGCCTGGGCAACACAGTGAAATGCTGTCTTGACTAAAATACAAAAAAATTATCCAGGCATGGTGGCATGCACCTGTAGTCCCAGCTACTTGGGAGGCTGAGGCAGGAGAATTGCTTGAAACCAGGAGATGGAGGTTGCAGTGAGCTGAGATCACGCCACAGCACTCCAGCCTGGGCAACAGAGCGAGACTCCATCTCTAAATAAATAAATAAAAAGAATAATTGTAATAATAATAATGTCAATAAAAGATCTAACATTAATTGAATCCTAACATTTGTACAGTGAGGTATTTTATATGTACTTGTATCACTGAGTATTCTCAACAGTCCCATGAGAAAATGGTATATGAAAATCCCCATCTCATAGTTGAGGAAACTGAGGCTTAGGAAGGTAAGCAAATGCCAGCGGCCGGTGTATGCATCCAGGCTGTGTGGCCCCAGAGCCTGTGCCACAGCCCTGCAGAACTGCCTGCCTGCAGGTGAGCACCCAGTGCTGTGGGGCTCTCATTTGCTGTCTGTCGTCCTCCCCCATGCCTCATCATTGTGCTTTGGCTTGCTCCTCCTGCAGCGTCACCTGGGACCCCAACCGGTACCCCTCGGAAGTTGTACAGGCCCAGTGTAGGCACCTGGGCTGCGTCAATGCTCAAGGAAAGGAAGACATCTTCATGAATTCCGTTCCCATCCAGCAAGAGACCCTGGTCCTCCGGAGGAGGCGCCAAGGCTGCTCTGTTTCTTTCCAGTTGGAGAAGCTGCTGGTGACCGTTGGCTGCACCTGCGTCAAACCCCTTATCCGCCATGTGAGCTGAGAGAGGCACATCAGCTCAACTGAAGAAGCTGTAGCAATGCTGTTCCTTACCCAGTGCTCTGCAACAAGCCCTATTGATCCCCAGTTCCCTCTACTTCACAGGACTCTTAATAAGACCTGCATGGATGGAAACACAAAATATTCACAATGTATGTGTGCATGCACTGCATTTTATATTTGATACTGAAATGTTAGGAGATAAATTAATACATTCAGTGCTAATATAATAAAGCATTAATAATTGAAAAATACTTCAGGTGTTTGTTTCCAGTCCCAGCTGGTTCTCACAGACCTTGTGGCCCTAAAGAGTTTGGAATTCTATATGCCTATCATTTGTTTTTCATATTTCCTCATCAGAGCACCGGTTTTAGAGTTGTTTTATTATTAATGGTGCTTGCAGGTTGGTTACATAGAGAGTTAAGGAAAATGGTGCAAACAGAACCGAGGTAGCCTGGTGACACTTTACTGCTTCATCATCCCAGCTACGTTATTTTACAAACCAAATACTTATTGGCCACTGTGCTAGCCACTGGAGATACAAAGAGAAGTAAGAAATGCATGTGGAAGGGCCATGTGTAGGGAGCGGCCATCCAAAGAGCCCCTGGTCATGAGGGCCGTGGTGGCCACTTTGCATCCTCCTCTGACTTCTGGGCTCTTTAGGGGTCACTGGTTGTCATTTATCATCTCTTACACATCTTAGGGACACACAAGCTTCCAGATTCTGATCTCCATACCACTCTGAGAACACTCAGTGGTCTTCTGATGCCTCTGTTGCACACCACAGTTTCTCCTTTACTTCCACCATGCCACTAGCTCAGAGCACATCTGCATTGCTGCTGCCTCCCAGGTTCCAGAGAGAAAGCAGTTGTAAGTTCTCACTCCCACGTAGGACTTGGCTTGAGGAGGGAGAGTTGGCAGCAGCCTGGCTCCCATTTAGAACTCTTGAGTCTGTTGGTAGGTGTGGAATGGGAGTGGCTGAGGAAGCACTTTATCTCTTTGCTCCAGAATCTTGTGCTTAGGATATAAATACTGACTTTTGTACTTAAATTTCAGGTTCCTAAAATGTAAAATACCTTCCTCTCATAGCTATCAGCTTCACAATTGTGCTCTGAATCTTACAAGTTCGATGCTCAAATCTGTGTGATGAAAGTTTTCTCTGTTCATTTTGGCGATAAGAGCTATGCCCTGGGGGTAGTGCATATAAAAAGCTCTCTGTCTGATAGTGGAGGAAGTATAAAGGAAATTTCAGGGGGAAAAGAATTGCACCACTGAGTGTATCAAGATACTATCTTGGCCCAGTGTGGCGGCTCATGCCTGTAATCCCAACACTTTGAGAGGCCAGGAAGGGAGGATTGCTTGAGACCAGGAGTTCAAGACCAGTCTAGTCACCACAGAGAGACCCCATCTCTAACACACACACACACACACACACACACACACACACACACACACACACACACACAAGATTAGCCAGGCATGGTGGTGCACATCTGTAGTCCTAGCTATAGCTACTTGGGAGACTAAGATGGAAGGATCGCTTGAGCCAGGAGTTGAAGGTTGCAGTGAGCCATGCTCTCATCATTGCACTCCAGCCTGGGTGACAGTAAGACTTCGCCTAAAAAAAAAAAAGACATTATTTTATATTTCATTACACATGCACACATATACTTTTGAGGCAGTGTACCAAAGACTATAATCAAGGTATGAAATGTTAGGAAAATACAGGAAATTCCTGGGAAGTTTCAGAAACAAGATGACTTTTGCACTGAGATGAATATGAATTGTTTTGGAGGAAGATGTGGGAAAGGCATTCCAAGCAAATGTAACAGCATGAGCAAAGGCAAGAGGTACAAAAAAACTTGGTGTGTTGGGGGACAGAAAGTAGTTCTATGTGCTCAGGATAGCGTGGACATGGGGACACGGGTGGGGAATGCATAACAAATATTCCTTTAATAAATGAATGAATTCACATGGTAGTAGACAAAGAACAGTGGGCAAATGGGCCACTTGTGGATGGTTTTGTAAGCTTTGTTAACAGGAACGACAGGGGTTTAGTTATATTTCGCAAGATAACTTTGGTGATAGAGAGCAAAAGGGATCAGAAATATAAAGTCCAGTGAGAAGATCAGAGAGAAAGCAATTTCACTCTGACAGTACATTCACATTTTTAGAGTTGGATGAACCCCGATAGATCACCTGGTCAACCTTTCTCATTTGCAAATGTGGCCCACAGGAATTAAGTGACTTGCTCAAGGTCACTTGGCAGTTAACAGTAGAAACAGGCTCACTGACTCCAGGTTCATGACTTTTGATATAGGTTTTGCAATGACACTGTAGTGTGTCCAATAGAAACTCATTTCAGTCATTTCTCTATGTGGCCTCAGGCTTCATTTCTCTATGTGGCCCTGGGACAGAGTGCAGAATTACCTCCGCATCACACATCTCCAAATACATTGTATGTTGTGCTCTAGATCCTGGGGCTCTGAGTGAACAGCTTCCCTTTATGGTTCCTGCACTGAAGGTTGGCTGTCCTTCAGGAAACTGCATGTCCTCTCCTGCTCACAAGGTGGCACGCTGTGTTCAGTTGTTCCCAGATTTCTCGGTATATGTTGAAAAAGAAATGACTGCTTTAGGGGTAATTTGTTTTATTTGGCAACTGGAAGCCACTGCTAAGGCAGAATGAGTAGGCTATCTTCTTCTGTTCTGCGCTTAGCATTCTGGGAGGGGCTTTGTTTTTCCTGTAGGAGAAATGGCTGAAGTTAAGCAGTTTAGGTATTCAAATACAACGTTGCATCATAACATGTGGAGAGAGAAACCTTTCTTTCCACATGGAGACTTGAAAGCATAGAGCCTTTTCTTTTGACATCCAGTTCTTTTTTGTGAATACTTGGCTAAGGGGGAAAACAACCCCAATGTATTCTTTCTCTGTCTCTGTTTCTGTCTTTCTTTCTTGTTCCCTACTTCCCCAAATTTGGATAAAAGTCACCTATATGTATAAAGCTCTGTGTGAGAAATTTTACTTATAATTTACAGTGAGGAAAATAGAAGGTTGGTTTTTCTTCCCCCATTCCCTTCCATAAAAGAAGAGGTAGAAAAAAATGTATGTAATATGTAGACAGCCCTTAGCTTTGAATCCTGGTTCTACCATTTTCTGCTTGTGTGAATTTAGGCAATTTAGTCCTTCTGAGACTCAGCTTCTTCATATGTTAAATGCAAGATAATATCTATTTTAAAGAGTTCTGTGTAAAGCAATCAAAATAAAAAATGTAAATTATTTAATCCCGTAACTGGGTAATGGTAGGCTTGGTAACTGGTAGTCATTATTTCAAGAGGCACAGAACTTACATTTCCCATTTTGCTTGGCCCAGAGAAACTCAGAACCAACTTTTATGTTTAAGTACCACAGTTTGCTGGCAGATTAGACATTCATAAGAGAAAAAAAAAAATACCACAGTTATATTGTTGCTCATGGTTTTCAAATTTGCTTTAATTTCTATATGCATATATTAATATAGTATACACAGTACAGGTATATATTAGTATATAGATCCTGTGTTTAAATTAGTTTTCTATCTATGAAAAGTTAAGAAAGCTATAGATTCAATTCATTAAAAAAATTCCCCTTGGGCCCAAATGTCTATTGCATCCCCTCCAGTGGTATAAATTGGAATAAAAACATTTTTAGCTCAATAAGTTTTAGGAGTGATACATGCATGTTCAGCTAGATAAGTGTGTGCTTTAAAAATTGTGACCTATTCCTGGCTCCCTGGCAGTTTAGTGGGTACCGATTTTGTTCAGTAGTGAAGAAGAACATATTTCAAAAACTAATAAAAAATAATCATGATTTGAGCATCAAGATGTTCTTGCCGGCAAAATGTGGATCTCTTAAATGGTACAGACATCATAGCAATATCAGAGAACACAGCATAATGATTAAGTGTGTGGACGTTGGAGCCAGAGCCTGGGTTAAAATGTCAGTTCTGGAGCTTACTAGCTGTACTAGTTGCTAATGATTTGGGGCATGTTACTTTGCCTCTCTGTGCCTCTCTTTCCTCAAATGTAAAATAGAGATGATAATGTGCCTACTTCATAAAGTTACTGAGGGAATAGAATAATAATCTATAAGGTATTTGGAATAGTTCCTGGCATGGTAGGTGTATTGTTTAGTGTATTATTAAGAAAGTTAAAATCTATCTATTATTCTACCACAATAACAGATCACGTTAATATTTTTCTTTCTCTTCTGCTCATTTGCCTCACAGATACATATTTTATAAGGCTGTAACTGTAACATATGTGGAATTAGTATTTGGTAATTTTTACTTAACATTATATTCCGTGTATTTCCAATGTTTCCATAAAGCATTCACAATGATTTTTAGTAGCTGCATAATTCTTTCTAGTTGATGAACCAGAATTTATTTAGTTATTTTATTTTTGGAACTTTAGCTCCAAAAATAAAAGAAAAATTATACTTTAAAAAGTTAAATAATACTTGTAACTGTTTAAATTACTTTTTAAAATTATGAACTATGTAGTACAAACAGAAGAGTGTATGCCTTTATATACGGATCCGTGCCTTGCATATCAAAATTCTGTCTATGTATGTGTGTGTTTTCATATCTATAGCCAACCTTGGGGCAAGTTAGTTAATTTCTCTGAGTCTTAGTTTTCTCAACTACAAAGTGGGGTGATAATGTCGGTCACATAGGATTTTAAAGTGGATTAAAATAAACAATGCATGTAAAGCATTTAGGGCAATTCCCAGTTCCAACGAGCTGTTTTAGTCTTAGTGGTTATGCAGAGCCTGTGGATTAGGGTTCCCACCTTTAAATTCTTATTTTCAAAGTCAAAGAAATCAATGCATTAGACAAACATGGGTTTATGAGTTGTTCTGGGGTTGCAGATGCGAAAATATTCAGAGCCTTCTGATTCCACTGGCTTACCTCTGTGGTTTCGTTATGTGCTATCTATAGGTGACATACCACAGCCCTTTTGTATGGCCTGAGGCGAGGACCAGACCTTGTTTATAGTGGTGACAACACCAGAGGCCCTGTAACCATTTGCCACAACCACATTCTCATGGCTTTGACAGAACTCAGCTCTGGGAGGCACAGCTCGGATGGGTTGTGTAGACTGAATGTCGGAGTGGGATCTGAGAGTGACTGTCCCCTTTGTAAGGGACACCATGCTCACGGAAAAGTGCTTAGTAT